CATGTAGAGCTGACAGGTCATGTGAAGTAGGGACTAGGGCTTCTCTCCTGTCTCTAGTTAAGGCAGTTATCCCTCCATAGGGAATGTGTTCGCAAGGTCCTTTTGTGCACCAAGACTACATTCTGGCTCCACTGTCTGAGGTCCCTTAGACTTCTCAGTCCTTCTGGCTGAGACCCATATTCAGGGGGGCCCGAGTCAGTCCCATGCTTGAGGATGTGTCTGCAGTCAGTGTGGTCTTACTCTGGAATTTCTGATTTTACTTAGTATCACCATTTTCAGGATCTAGTCTTCCAATCCACTCCAGGCCCTTCCCAGGCTTCTGCGTCACACAGTTCATAGTATAGCTAGTAATTATGTAGCCTGAAGCCTTGCAGGACATACTTGTAACATATCTGCAAGTAATTTGCATTTTTCAATTGTTATTGATTGACACATTAAACACAGATGGGACTGTCCATCACTTAACTTACAATAACTAGTCAGAAACAAGTGATAACAAGGGTTGATTCACAGATAAGGACATTTCTCTGGTTTGTATGTAGATGCTTGTGGTGAAACTAGTGTGCACACTTCAACAAACAAAACACAGCATCACCATAAGTTATCCCATTCAAACAATGCATTATATATGAGAGACTGGAACATGTGTTTATGAGAGGTCTACACTAACATGTGCAACAATTGCAGGGTTATTCGTAGAAGACAAATTAAGAAAAGGACTTCACTATGAAGCTGAGAGTGTTTCATGGGGTGTGGGAATTAAGGAGTTAATGGGATGAGTGGCTTATCACTATCATCAAAATACGTTATAGATGCATGAAACAATTACAGATACAACAGAAAGATTAAGAAGAAAGTAAGCACATCACAGTATTTCAGGAAGAAGTAATTGACAAAGAAAGGATGGCCAAGAGAATCTGTGGGAAAACTGCGGCGTGATCTAGAGACGAGGAACAAGCTGTCCTGGGTGTAAAATTGAATTTACCTGAGTTGCATGGAGAATAAAAAGGTGGAATGGAGAGCATTGTTCTGATTCCCAGAGGCTGAGGTGAGGAGGGGAGGTGACAGGAAGGTAGCACACAGTCAGACCACACAGAGGAAATTTACATCCAAATTGTTCATGATGTATATTCAGGATTTGAACCAGAAAACGTGATATGACACAGAAGTTAACTGCCCAATCTTCTGTTTCCATACAATACTTATAAAGTAATAAGTTATTGATATCGAAATTGTGATTTGACAATCTATGACTTTATAAACCCGATTTCTAATGCTGGTGATAGTGTACAAATTCATTGTTGATGTCTACTCTACTCATGAGTTTACATGGGTGGGATGTAAGAATATAATTACTGGGTCCACTGTATAGTGTTTGCACACATCATTTTCATATTTTTAAATTGAACTTTCTAAATTTTTTTCACCATTCTTAATGTCTCATAGCTTTTCCACCTACCTACCTTCTGACCTACTTTTGTGAATTTTCTCATACTTGAAAAAGAGGAAAAAAACACAAATACAAAATATACCAGTGAAGTCTCTCTTTTGTTTTCACACTACTCCTCTGAAGTGTGATTGATTTAACCTGTGAGGCTATCTTGTGGAAAACTGACTTCCTCCCATCAGTGGCAAACTGTGTACAGCATCATTGCTAATAGTGGGACTTAGTAGTCACTGTCATTGCTTATGGTTGGAGTTTGTCTTCCTTGTGTGAATGGAGTTCATAATTGGTATAAATAGCAATAACCTGGAGTCAGATATACAAGAAATTGCTGAGAGATCAGAGAGAAGCAATGAACACCACCTGTACTTCCTACCTTCCTAGCACAAAAGAGGCAAGTTCATGTTTCCTCCCGCTCACATCCTCTCTGTGCCCAGCCATCTCACTTCCTGTCTGTTTGTACAGGCCTCCGGACCTCTATGGTTACTAACTGGCAAGCTCCATCCTCTGATCTTTGGACAACCTTTATTTGAATAAGCAAGACATCATCACAGCCTTGAGCTTCTCTGTGTCTTGATCACGCTGCCATAATGTCTGCATGTTGCAGTTTCTGTGAGTTCCTATGTGCACCCGTTATATTGTGGCCTAAAAAAGTTTCCATGGTGCTGCCCATAATTGCTGGTTCTTGCAATATTTCCATCCACTCTTCCTCATAGGGTCCTGAGCACTGATGGTGGGGGGCAGTGAAAATACATCCCATTTAGGAATGAGCATGCCAAAGTCTCTCCTTCTCTGAAAGTCATCAAGTTGTGAATTTAATGTTGATTTTCTTAAACACAGCAAGTATGAATGAAGCAGAACTTTGGTGCAGCTGGCTGAGCTCTGCTGCCAACTGCAGAGCCTTTCCTGTCCCTGAGACATGTTCTCATCATAAAAACAAATCACCTTCCAGTTTTCATTAAGTATATTCTTGTCGAATCTTTGTCTCCAAACTTACAAACAAGTGTTGTTATTTCCACTTATAGAGGAAACTTCTCTTTGCAAATGTTGGAGACTGTTACAGGAAAAGACAGCAGAGCAAAATGCAGAGGTGTTAAGCCCAAGCCTCAACTGATACATCTGCAACACTGCTCCTGCTTTGTAGGTTAGGTAGGGATTGTGGTAGAAAAGGGAGTAGGAAGAGTGTGTGCACCCTAGGAAGGTTAAGTCTGCTCTGAGATCATGTCTCCTAGACATATTAAAGAACGTGCATCCATGAAATCTACTGAACATGGCTCCTGACACATGAGCTGAGCATAAATGAAAACAATAGGAATTTTCACCAGGTCTCAGCTCTAGTCAAGATTGTGGGTAACTAAGGAGCCTAGAGCCAGAGCAGAAGACATAGTATTCAAGTATACCTGTAAGATTTCCAGTGCCATATAGCCCTGAAAACACATTACATGGACTGAGGATGGATTTCACTATTTAGAAATATAGAACTCACACACACACACACACACACACACACAGAGAGAGAGAGAGAGAGAGAGAGAGAGAGAGAGAGAGAGAGAGAGATTTATAAGTTTAAAAAAGAACCAATGAATTTGGAAGAACACGGGAGTCTCCAAAGTAAGATTTGTAGGGAAAAATAGAGAAGAGGAAAATGCAGTATATTGTGATCTAAATATATTAATATAAATTGACAAGGAAAACAAAACTCCTTGTTTCCTAAGTTTCTTTAATTGTCAGATATGTACAAAATCCTGGATTCACTTCCCCACAGCAGGGAAATTCCTTGTCATGTCACAAGTGTTACACTCAAGAATTATGGAGTGATTCAGTAGGATCAAGAAATACAAATACTTCTCCTATGTGTAATATTATTGAGGAAAGCCTGGGACTCATGATGCTGGTTTCCCACAAAATATGATTCAAAATTACCTCTAGTGATGTTTCCACAAGGGAGAGTTTATTTCTGCATCCCTCTGCACCTACTGCAAGGCTGTCTTCCATTGTATGCTCTATAGAACTTGACAGACTTGGAAGCTAGTGCAACCCTCAGCATCTAGGAAGCCATGAACAATGTTTTTATCAAGTCGCTTCCTTTGGATCTTCTGTTTGCCTCCTCTCTGCTGCCCAGTCACGGAGAGTCAATAATTATCTGCTTCTGTTATTATGATAGTGTGCAGTCATTTGAAGTTTAGAAGATATAATAGTATTAAATTCAGTGTGTGGCTGTGCATTTCAAATCCCTTCTACCTGTGAGGAACTGAAGCCACAGGGGCTGTTTCTAAATTAATCTCATTCATCATGTCAGAAAATATTTCATATAAATGCAAATCCTTACACTAATGGTTATTGATACATACATAAAATCACACACACACGATATTTTCAGCAAATATATGAAGAAATGATATATATTATTATGGTAAAATGAATAGAGTTATAGATTATAAAAGTATGTGAGGTAAGGCAGTTTCACATGTCATGAATTTTCTCTGGTATGACATATTTGAAATAAATCACATCACTGTTAATGTGAGTCTAGTTTGTAAGTATTAGGAGAAGACAGATGATAGTGAATTAGGATGGTGATACAGATGAAGTCATGGTTTCAATGCACAATAAATATATGCTCCAAAAAAGTCACAATTCAGCTTCTAACTTTACATGATTAATGCATGCTAGTAAAAATTAAACATATGAACCTGGTCAATGGTGGTGCACACCTTTAATCCTAGCACAAGCAAGGCAGAGGCAGGCAGATCTCTGTGAGTTCAAGGCCAGCCTAGTCTACAATGCTATAGAGAAAATCTGTCTCAAAAACAAACAAACAAAATGAATATATGTTACAATATTTTCAGCAAAACTATTCCAAAGACTTCAACTAAGCTCATAATGGACACCACGAATAGACGTGTGTCACACCTCAGTTCACTATGCATTAGTTTTAAAACCTAGCATGTTATCAGTCACCTGACAGATGGTGAGAGAAAATGTGCTCATTATTCATGGTCGAATTTATATAACAAAAGTGGCATAAAGTCATGGCAGTTCTACCAAACCATTGCAATCGACCATCTACAATTTATGAAAACTAAGCCAGCCTCTGAAAGACAATTTTTGTGATTAACAGAGATGAAAATCACAGAGCAATAAACTGAATTAGCTAAAAGCACAGCTGAGTCACATCTGAACTATAGTGCACAATCCTCAGTGAGAGGAGAGAGGGGAATCTTGGCTCCTCCTTCCTTCTGGTTTTCCCTTAAACACAAATCCATGAGCATTATAATCATGAAATCTGACCAAGGCTCTGCCTAGAGTAAGAAAAGACTCAGAAATGTTCACGAGCTTCTGCATTATGTGATTTCAATGACAATGTCCAGGTCCTTTATGTCCTCATAGCTGTCAGTTTGCATCTTCTTTATGGGAGACTGTGCCTCATATTTTTAAAATACTACAAGGAGGACATGTGATGCTTTGAGGACATTGTATCCCTTCACAACGTACGTGGAGAGAGAATATCCAGGAAAAAGAAAGAAAAAAATGCAGCCCAGATATCTGAGAGGACCTAGTCTGCATAATCTTCTGGACTCAATTTATGGCCTGTGTTGCAGTGCATTCCCTGGTGGCTATGAGCCGCCTCACACTGAGGTTTATGTCTGGGGACACACTTAAGCCTTCTCATTGTGTAGCTAGCACAGTAATACACAGCTGTGTCGTCAGTCTTGAGATTATTCATTTGCAGGTAGAGAGTGCTCTTGGCATTGTCTCTGGAGATGGTGAATCGGCCCTTCACAGATGGCACATACCTTGAGGCACTGCTATCTCCATTAATGTCTGCAACCCACTCAAGCCCCTTTCCTGGAGACTGGCGGACCCATTTCATCCAGTCTCTAGGAAAAGTGAATCCAGATGCTGCACAGGTGAGTTTCAGAGACCCTCCAGGCTGCACCAGGCCACCTCCAGAATACACCAGGTGACTCTCACACTGGACACCTGCAAACACAGAGAATCCTGTCATTAAATTGACACACAAGCATCATTGGCCTCATATCCACCAACGATTCATTATTTCTTCTCCATAAATTACCGTTTAAAAGAGCAACAAGGAAAACCCAGATCAGTCCCAAATCCATGATGGGAACTGTGTTCAGTACTGATCACTGAGTTGGGAGACCTGGGAATCCAGGGCTGGTCTCTTTTGCCTGAACTTCAGGCTGAGCTTGTTTTCATAAGGACAGATAGGCCTTATTTGCATGTCTTCCTGTCATATAACAAGTTCTGTCATTGGAGCTGAAAGATGGCATGTCACAGTATGTTTGTAAATGTGCTGGACAATTGTGGCAATAAAGGCAATGGTGGGAATTTTTTGTATCATCCTAAGTACACACATTTCTGGTACACACTAATTATTGTCTATTTCATTGAATACTCACAAGCAAAAGATGCATTTTAGGGTTAATTTCAGCCTAGTACTTCATGTCCTGTTCTGCTGTGGAACATTTTTCTTTCACAGTGTTGATGTCAGCCCTGAAGTGAAAAGCATTGCCTGAGTTAGCCCTATCCCTAAATGTAGCTGCTTCCTGAGTTTGGGAACTCTCTTTCTGTACTGAGACCTTATGGCACAACTATTCCAGAGGCCTCTTCCAGATTTATATGTACCCTGGAGTATAAAATTCTTACATTTTTTAGCTATTTCATCTCTTCTTTCTCTGACATCTATCTCTTTATTCACTAGAAACAGGAAGTGACTGGTGAGCTGAACCCCAGTTTACAGTTCTGCATTTGAATTCCCTTGACCTTTCTACTCAATCACTTCATGTCCCATCCCAGGCAGTTACCTCTTCTGATCTAACCTAGAGTCCTAAGCTTGATTCTCACTCTCTATACGCCATGGAAATACACATTAAGAATGCACTTCACTCAACACAACCCATCATGGATGGCAACAGGCTGATTTATGTCCAGCCTTCATCACTTTATTGGTGACCAACATGCTGACAGGACAATTGAAAACAATTTTCTCTGCTAATTTATTTGTACAATAAGAATTGGCTCCATTTTCCAGAATTGAGAAAAACCAGCTGAGTCGTGGGATATCTTCAGAGAACAGAGTTGGTTTCACTCTTGGGCAACAGGAGCAAAGCAGACTAGTGATGGGAGATGCCATTCTGTAAATATGTTTCTCGTATTGGTTAATGAAAAAAGCACTGTTGGTCAATAGGAAAGCTAGATAGGCAGGACTAGGAGACAAGGAGGAGAGAGGAAGTAGTAGGGAAGAGAACCAAGATGGAGGACAGAGAGAGAATAACACCAGCCCCATTCTCCGGTAAGATAAGACCACGTGGAAACATTTAGATTAATAGAAATGAATTAATATTTAAGAGAGAGCTAGCCGATAAGAAACTAGTAACTGGCCAACAGAATTATATCAAACACAGAGTCTCATAGTTATTAGCTTTGTTTGTATCCTCAGAGACCCACTCCAGACCCTTCCTTGGAGCCTGGAGGACCCATTTCATCCAGTAGTTACTGAATGTGAATCCAGAGGCTGAACAGTCAAGTTTTAGGGAACTTCCAGGCTGCACCAAGCTTTCCCTGATCATAATCAGGTAACCCTCTCCAATAAGTAAACACTGGCCCTTACTCTCTAATATAAAATTGGTTTAGTGGTTTCATGCCTGACCCAACACATCCCCATATGAATGCATCTGTATGAAGACATGACATTATAGGTGTCAAATGGAGGGAATGTCTGATAGAGGATCATGCAAAATTAAGTTTCAAAGATAAAGACTTCTCAATCACATCAAACACTTGGGATTATAAAGCATCACAGAATTTATCCAAAATCAGATGCTCTATAGAACAAATGTGACCAATAGTGGGCTGTTAGGGATGATGCTGTATTATTGTGGATCCTTGAGGTGTGATATGGTAGAGAAGGATCCTGGGCCTGGGAAGGCAGAAAATATGAGAGCAGATAATAATGCATAATCTCATAACATATTCTCAATTAACATGTACACACATTAGATCAATGTATGAGTTTGTAAAAAATTAATTATATAGCATTTTTAACCTGTGTAACCTGTGACTTGGGGTTTTCTTGCTGTGCAGAGACACCATGACCCTGGCAACTATTAGAAGACATTTTATTGGTATTGGTTTACAGTTCCAGAGGTTTAGTCATTTACCATCAAGGTGGGAAGCATGGCAGAAATGGTGCTGGAGAATGAGATAGAGTTCTACATCTGAAGACATAGGCAGCAAGAAGTGAATGTAGAACTCAATGCCCAACCACTTTTGAAACCCTTCCTGCAGCATAGCCACACCTACTACGACAAGTTCTCAACTCCAAGTAGTTCCAGGCTCTGTTAGCCAACGGGGACATTTTTATTCAAACCAACACAACCCACTTGTAGGAATTACATTTTTGTGACAGTACTTTATGATAATGAACGTCTCTTATATTCTGAGACTGAAACTTTGCTGAACCATACGGCCAGAGTGAATAATATATGTCGAGGTCATTTATGACTTAAGACTGATTTCTTACTGTTTACTCAGCCCTTTTCTTTCACTTGCCTTTATGAGAATAATGTAATAATCAATCCTATTTTCCTTGGATTTCCCATGTAATAAACTTTTACAACCAAAGACAATGTAAAGCTCTATTGTAAAGTTATATTCTCTTCCATTCTCCCTATATAGGACTAATGTATTATATGTTTGTATGTGTGCAGGATAATCATTTGCCGAAAACAGAAAATACAACTTTGAATACATCTTATAAGATGGATACAAGAAACAGTTGAAGACAGCATATGTGATATTGGTTGATAAAAAGTAAATTTTGTAGTACGTTTAGTATTTGATTCAGTTGGAATCGGGCACATGGGACCACACTTGTAAAACATTGTTCAATATTTCTGTAAATATCCCTATTGGGAGCTGTCTTTATGGGACTGTAATTGGAGCCAGCTGAGTGGCCCCAAGTCCTCACCTGAGTGAGCAAGTGTGGATGAGGGAAAGGCTAGCTATAGGTGATAAATAAAGACAGAGACACAGAATAAAAGTCAGGAGAGCAGGTCAGTCAATACTGAAATGCCATGAGTTTATTTTTCACCACACTTATATACCTTAACCAAAAAGGGGAACACAGTATCATTCATATGGAACAAACAGACTTTTCTTCCTCACTTATCTAAGGTTTCAATACTCACATCCTAGCTCCAACTTCTCCTTCCCTAGCCTTGAGAGGCTGGAGTAGCCACTCCTCAGATTCAGTTCTGTTGTTATTTAGACTAGGACAGCCAAACATCCTACTGTAACCACAACATTGACCTTTAGGTCTTATGACTTGCTGAGGACAGTTTTGAACTCTATGTCCTTGTGCCAAGATAGAGTGCAGCCATCTTTATGAGCACCAACATATCCCTCATTTCCTCTCCCAGTGGCTGTTGTGTTGGTTGAACAACAAATGCAGAGAAAGGTCTTTGAAGGGAACACCTACACTATATGTGTGCGCGTGCACACACACACACACACACACACACACACAAGTGGGAAGGGAGAAAAACGTTGATACAGAGACATAGAGAAAATCACAGATCAAGATGGATATTAAGACTCATGTAACAGACAGACATGAATTATGGGAAACTCAGAAACTGTGAAATGTGAGGGCCAATAATCATTATATTGTTTTTTGTCCAATGTACTGAGAGTTTATTAAGTGAATTTAAAATACCCAAAGAGTATGTAAGGATTATGATAAAGTTCATATAAGATGTTATAGTTGATAATCAATCAGTCCCAATAATACCTTGTCTCTGAACCAACGCCCTCCAGACAGCTATATTTTTTGTTCCAAGATACAGATTCATAACTTTTAGTATTCTACAACAAGGGAATAAGTACCTGTGGTCTTTAAAAATCTCAGCTTTCTCAAGGAAGAAGGGATGGAAAAACATATTTCTGAAATGATAAAAAAAAGAGACATCATGCAAACAAAAGTATCAAAACAATGCACAGAATGTACTGTTTAAGTTAAGTTGAGTTCAACAATCCTACTTTATCAAATCTTGAATATTCAGTCTAAGAAATTTACACACAGATATACAAAATCAAGTTTTATGAGACATTGGAACCTTTTAATTCAGGAAAATTTTTATGGGAGTGAAATGCATTTGACTGATTATCTTGCTCTTTTCATCAAATCTAGCACATCTGCACCCTGACAGTGGCATATTTTCAGGGATTAATGTTTGCCAACAAGTTATATGTATCTACACATGGTGATACAATCATGCAATGCCCCTCACCTATTCATCTAGCTTTTCTGTCAATATAGCACTGAGAATTTTCCACTGAAGAACAGCAATATATTTTCTATGTATCCAACCACTAACATCATAATCCTAGTGAAAGATAAAGGGAAGGGTACTTTCTCTGCTGTTGACTTAGCATAGCAGAACCACATTGGCTCAGAGTCTCTGACAATCTCAGGATGTGGTTTTCACACTGTATTCCTTGCACAATAATACAATGCCATGACTTCGGTCTTGAGGTTACTTATCTGCAGGTAAAAACTTCTGACAGAGGGGTCCAAGGAGAAGGTAAACTTCCTGTGAAGTTGTCAGCATATGTTGGTTTCTCATGGTCAGTATTGATCCAGCCCAACCACTTTAGACTCTGTCCTGGTGCCTGTTTCACCCAGTGCATTGAATAATCTGTGAAGGTATACCCTGATGCCTTATAGGAGATCTTCACTGACTGTCCAGGCTGCTTCAGCTCAGATCCTGGCTGCATCATCTGGATCTGTGTTTAGAAATCTGTGGAGAGGACATAAGGAAGTTAGAGGTCATGGATCTGCCTCTCTTTTCCCTGCAGCACTGGACTCTGATGTCTTACTATGGGCAGCTGCCAGCAGAAAAGGGAGCCCCCAAACCCACTCCATGTGTATTTGTTTGGACACTATAGGTTCCTGAGACTAATCAGGCACTGCCTTGCTCATTCAGGGAGATGAGCCTAAGATTTCTACTCTAAATATTTGGCATTGAGTAGATTTGCATAAGACCTGGTATCAAACAAAACTATATATACAATCCAATGTGCAAGGTTTCTTGATTTCAGTTGAAAGATCTGATGTTCATGTCTTCACTCTGCTTGTGTTTTTCCCCATGGCCTCAGACTAAGCTGGGTTGGCACATTTATGATTTCCACTCTTTACCTCACAGTTTCACTGCTTTGTCCCATGTAACAGGGCAACACGGCCCTTTGCCTTCTAATGCTCATGTGTCCGTCCTATGGTGTACTCAGACTTAGTGACTTTATCCTTTCCCATGGAAACTGCCCTCTGCAGACTAAGGCCTCTGCATCTGTCCTTCCTTGCCTGTGGCCTCTATAAGTGCTGTTCCTGCACTCCTACATCAGTGTCTCATCATTCTTGATGATCATGTGTGAATAAGATATATTTATATTTATCATTATGAAATGCATGCTGTCCCTTTACATAAGTCATGTAAAAAAAAGTTATAAATTTGACAAAGTACAAAGAAGATCATGGAGCGTTTGGGGTAAATTATGTACTTGTACTAATATAAAATTTAAAATTTATTATGATTATATGGTAAAGTAGAATTGATAACAAGGAATAGTTTAGAGGTCGTTATAGAAATGTCCTGCTTTTTAAAGGGCCTGAGTTCAACTTCTTGCACCCACATAAGGTAGCTCAGAACCAACTATAATTGTGGCTACTTGGGGAGCCAATTCCTTTGGTCTCTTTGGGCATAGACAATCTAGTTCCTCTACCCACAAAAAAGACACAGATACATAATTAGGACAAGAAGTATTTGAAAACAAATAATAGTTTCATAATAAATCAACATATGTGAAAAATCTCACACTAAAATATAAAATCTGCATTTATTCGTTGAAGTATAGTAACTGATAATAAACATGGAGATTTATGTTTATTAAATGCACAACATGGCATTTAATGGAAATATCATCCATGTTTGGTCATTCAACAGTTAATGGTTTCTGGAGTAGAGTATCATAGATTAAAAGGCTGTGACTATCTATTAAAAATTCTTGTATAAATCCCAAAGTTGATTATTTTATGGAACACCTCAATGAAGCAAATTGATACACTAAATACTAACTATTTATATTTAAGTATTGAATTTTATTTTGGTTTTGAGAAGTTCACTTAGTTCTCTTTCCCATTCCCTCTCTCTCCTCCTGCTCTCTCTGTTTTTCTGTGTGTGGGGGGGTGGTTTAGGTTTTGTTAGTGTGTATGTTTGTGTACTCAGGTGAGAGTTCTCATGTATATTCACACAAAGGCTAAAGATAGATCTTGGGTATCTTCCATCTATTGTCTGATGAACCACCTTTTAGATAGAATTTCTAACTGAAAATGAGGTTCATCAATTAAGCGTAACAGTCCTGCCAGTAAGTTTCAAGGGTCAATCTGTCTGCCTGCAAGTATTGAAGCAAAAGATACCACTGCCATTCTAAGCTTTCCACATGGATATGAGGGATCCAAAACTAATATACATTGCATGTACAAAAACTACTTATATAAATGAGCTGTGTTCCCAACCCTCACTAGTCTTCCTTTTATGACATTTCAAATGGAACCCAGGGCCAAAAATTGCTGTGTGAGCACTGTTACTGAGTTGTATCAGATGCCCTCATTTGTCAGTCCTGTTGATCATGAGATTTTTTTTTCCTGCAGTGCCTTACCTATGGTTAAGAAGAATTAACATCAGGAATATGATGGGAGATGTCATTCTGTATATGTTTCTCATACTGGTTAATAATAACTTGCTGGTCCCATCCTGATGGTCAGAGCACCATGATGCCATCCTGTACACAGAGCAAAGTCCTGTCTCTAAGCCACTCCAGACTTTGAATTTGGGAATAGTGAGACTTCAGAATTACATAATTTTCTGATAATTTCAGATTATGCTTTAAAAATCTTGGTTTTATTTACTTCTGCTATTGGCATATGTACCAAATGGGCATAGATGACTTTTTGTAACAAGTGATACTGTTGTCCTACCAAGAGCATTTAGATGTGGCCCTTGCCATTTATTGAGCTCAACTATGATAGATAGTTTAATTTCTTTTGTAATGCAGTGGAAACAGATGTGTCCCATACAGTGATTTGGTTTAGAGCCTTGGTCTTAGACATGTCTCTCCACATCTCACATGGGACAAGAGATTCAGCATTTTTGTATCTGGTGTCCTCTGGGCTTCCAACTATTTCACCATGGCATCACCTCTGAGCCTCACTGGGAACCACATGTATGTTATTTCGAGGTAGTGTACAAATATATTCAGTGTACATTTCATAGGTTTATTAACTTCAAGCAAATCACTGTTTGCCACTTAATTCTATAAGTTGATGATGCTCATGTTTTGTGTGAAATTCACATGAGTAATGATTTGTGTGAGTAGAAACCTGACAATTATAGCACTAACAATGCTGGGTATACCCCAGCTGTCTGCATCCTAACATGACTTCAAAGAAAGACATGCATCCCTATATCCCTATTCACACCCCATGTGCCCAGGTCTTCTTCCTCATTTGCCAGCCCACCTCTAGGCTTTATCTGGAACAATATATCATGGTATTTGGACCACAATTTTATGGTAATCATAAATCTGGGATTTCATCTGTCATTATATCTGTGATTAAATTTAAAACTGATTTAAATATTTAATCAGTCATCAAATTCAATAACACTTTAAGCAGTAAATTTGAAACAAATTTAAACTACTGACCAGTGTGTTCATCTCACAGGACTATTGGTATAGTAACAATCACTATATAACAACATAGTGGTTGAAATCTAACTTAATGCATAGGGAAACAGAAGCCATTGTTTCAATGTTTTGTTTTAATCACTGTTCTAGCACTTCTAAAATAATACAAGCTACTGTCATTGCTTTGGGTTATACTACAGATCAAGATAATAAGACCTTAGTGCTTAACAGGTCACACACACACACACACACACACACACACACACACACACACACACAATATAATACACAAGTAACTCAAGCTGGAACTGATTTGTAGACTTCCTCAGTGCTGACTGATGCTCCTATTTCCAAAAGAACTTGTTCAAACTACAGAAGGTGAGAAGGCATCAAACGTTTCCCTGTTGTGTACTATTTCTACTACAATTCTTCACTGCCAAAACAGAGATGTTCATAGGCAAACCAGTGGTAAGACACTTTCGAGAGGAAACTAGCCTTTCTTTCTTTGGAACTGAATGATCAGACACAAGAGGGAATACGTATCTGGTAACATTTTTTTTCATGGAAAACAACACTTACATACATTATATTCTCATCACAATTCTCTCCCCAAGATTCTCGCATCTCCCTACCATTCCAACTTCAGGCTTCTTCCCCCCTCTCTTTAGAAATAAAACTGGGAAATAAAATGAAATATAAACAATCTATTAAAAAATAAAAAGAAAAACTCAAGAGTCACACACAGGAGCACAACACACACACACGCACATGCACACGCACAAGCATAATTGCCATCTCCCAGATATTGGTCTTGGAAAGTTTCAGTACATACAGCCCTACGTCATTGTTAATGGTCCTAGCCTCATCTTTCCCCAAGATCACCCACTGCAATTGAGATCAGTCTCCAATACTACTGTAACCAAGTCTTTCCAGTCGTTCTGTGATAATTCTGTTACTACTTGAACATGAATTTAACATCTGCCTCACAAAGGTAAATGCATACCGTATGAGACTATTGCTTCCATAAATCTCCTCAAATATATACTTTCCGTGAAATCCAGTCAGCTCTTACACAGACTTGGGGATATCTGTCATTTGGCAGTTGTTCCTGTAAGGTGACTAGATAAATTAAAGTTGGTTGGTTGAAAACCTTGAGTAGTTCCTCTCTAATCTTTTAATGTAATGCTGAGGTTGAATCTTCTATCAATTCTTCTGTCTATGTCTGAATATCTCTTAAAGCTAGTAACTTATCAGTCAAAACGAAATTATTTTCTTAATTAACTCATTCTATGACCTGTATCTTGACACTCATATCAGTCAACATTTTTAGGGATAAAACAAGAATATGTCCACTAATGTTAATAATTGGCATTATGGGACTCCCATCTTAGTAATTGCCTCTTCATTTAATGGTTCCATTATTTTTTATTTTTATTTTACTTATCTATCCCAGTTCCCTCTCCCTCCCTTTCTCCATCCCTCCCTCCTCTTTCCCTCTCTCCCACCCTCCCATGCCCACTGACCACACTCCCCTCACATGCCTCCCCACTCCATATCTCAATCTGTGAAGTTATTTCGACTTGACTCTAGGCCTTCCCTACTGCCTCTAGGTTAGTAGTTCAGTAGATGGGTGCTGGGAATCCTTGGCATATTCTGTTCCTCAAGAGCGAAAGGGAATTCAAATGATAATCGGTGAGCATAAAGTTCCTACTCATAATCCCCATCCCATTTATAAAAATAATGACATTGATTTCTTATGGACATTACTGCCATCTGAGCATACGAGAAAGCTGGACCACAAAGCCAAAGAAGTAATGTTCCTAGGGGCCAGCTGTGTGCTTGGTGGACAGAACACTCCGGGACCCACAGGAAGTGGGTTGTCCTTCCTCACTGCGCCAGCTCCCGGGCTGAGACCAGGGCTGGATGAGCACTCAGTGCCTGCTGCCACAGAGACACTTCTGTCCCCTGCAGGAAGGCTTGTTTATGTGCAGGCTCACACTGAAGTTCCGCAACTGTGTCTCTTGCACAGTAATACACAGCTGTGTCCTCAGTGGTCACAGAGCTCAGCCTCAGTGAAAACTGATTCTTCGATGTGTCTACTGTCATAGTTATTCGGCTCTTGAGAGACGGGTTGTATTCAGTATTTCCATTGTTATAAATTCGACCCATCCACTCCAGCCCTTTCCCTGGACGCTGACGAATCCAACTCCACCAGTTGCCACTGCTAATGGAGTAACCAGTGACAGTGCAGGTGAGGGACAGTGACTGAGAGGGCTTCAGCAGACCGGGCCCTGACTCCCGCAGCTCCACCTGGGACAGGACGCCTGTGAAGAAAGAACAAGAGTGAGCCAGGGCCTCAGAACCAGCAGACCCAGGTTCTCCCCTGCGTCCCATGGAACTCACAGCTGGGAACCGTCAGCAGGAAAAGGAAGATGCACAAGTGTTTCATGCTCTTGGAGGTGAATTCAATGCCTTCCAGGAAATACTCTGCAGGTTGTAGGAGGCTCTGAATTTAAGCAGGAGTTTGGTTTCTGATAGCATTGCTGTAAATTTGCATGTGGGATGTTGCTATAAGTAAATGGATGAGAGCATGACGCATGTCAGCTTTCACAACATGAGTGAAAAGGCTGCAAGCTAGTCTCTCTGAGGGCCCAGCTCTCTTTTACTCGGTAACTGTTGCGACCTCCTCACATGAAAGTGGGAAATGAACACAGTGGCTTTATCTGGGGCCAGAGTGGTCATCCACACAATAAATAAATAAATGAATGAATAAATTAATAAATAAATGTATCAAATTTCACCCTCACATGAGGTCCCTGAGACTGGCCACTGGGTGACCACATTTGAGGCACCAGTTGAGCTCCTAATATTATTATCCCATTTGGAGATAGCAATCATCTAAGCTCTCTGCTCAGCGTGGACATTACATGGTTATGTCATAACACACTATAAGGCTATCACACTATAAGACATCACCTACCACCATCTCAGAGTCATCCCAAACACACTCCCTGATCTGCACACAGTCCTATGCAGCTTCATGTTCATACATGTTCATACTCTTCACAGTGCAGCCTGGCTGTAAGAGTGAGCACCTAGTTTACTGAAGGAGAGAGATACGCACCTGTGACTGGAGAGCTAATCAGATCAGCAGTAGTGGAGTGAAGTAGATCATCATTGAAATGCAGGGTAACAAAGTACTCAAATATGAAACCCACCCAAATTAAACAAAACAAAAATTATGCAATTATGCTGGTAAAGGCAGAAGAAAATGGGACAGAGTGGACCAAGGACAGGAAGAGGGATTGTTGGGATGAAGCAGTAGGAGGAGAAGGGGGAAAGTCAGAAGATGAAGGGAAGGAGGAAGGATGAAAGAATAATGAGGAGAAGGAATTGGAGGCATCTTCAACACAACCCTCAGAAGTCTTGGGGATTAACGTGGAAGGGATGTGCAAAGTTTATAAGAGCCACAGAAAATGGGAATTTTGCTGTGTGATATTATTTTTCCTAGAAATGCCAAATCTACACCCAGAAGGATTCATCGGCATGAATGATTAACTAGGAGATTCATTTAACGCTTTATAGCCACTTTCTTGTAACTCAGCATTACTGGTTTGGGCCTACGAAACTGTCCTGGGCATTGTGGAGTGTGCTAGAAAGAATCGTTAGCTGAAATCAAGTAGAGGCCAATAGAATGCCCACACGAAGGCAAAGGTCCTGTAATATTTTCATAAAATGATTATGTCCTTGGTTTAAGGGGTATAGCCCAGTTGCAGTAAAGTGTGGCCACACATCTCACAATATACATCCCAGAGTATACATCTCATACTATACATCTCACAATACACATCGCCTACCCCAACACAGTTATTACACACAGGATAGGACATGCTCTGCACACCAAGATACAAGCATAGGGAGACTCCTCTCAAAGAAGAGAGTGTGCAATCATTGTTGAATAATTTACTAACAAATGCTCACAGCTTTTATCAACCTAAGTTTTCCATCCTACCTAGATTGGGTTCATTGTTCTATTACACTGACCTTAATGTCATGGCCTGGTAAATATGAGCCATTTTAAATGATGATTTGTATTTCACACATAATGTTCCTTACATCCATATAAAGTTATAACCTGACCAAATAACCCCAATATAGTCAAGTAAACTAACAAACTGCAAATCCTTCCCTGCTCTTTGTTGCTTTGACTGTCTCTGTCTGTGTCTATCTCTTTCTCTCTGTCTCCCCTCTCTCTTTCCCTCTCTTTCTCTCTTTCTCTCTCTCTGTGTGTGTCTCTGTGTCTTTTTCTCTGTCTGTCTGTCATATGTTTTCATGTTTACACAATGGCTTCAAGACCTCTCAGTGATCAAGAGAACCTCTTAGACCCAGTACAGTGGAATTGCCATCGTGCTTTCTGAGATAGCTTCTTCCTGCTGAGAGTAGAAAGGGGAGAAATATTTGAGACCTATTCGGGTGTACAGGTTGCAGAAGTGCCCGCATTGATCTTCCCTAAACGCAAACACTGTCCTAATGAGAATTAATTAAGCTTTGTCCTGAAATTCATTGAGAGAGAAGCCTCACAAATATCTCCAACCTTCCTAAGCACTGACCCCAGTGACCTCTGCAGGGCCTTTTCTGCTACCAGGAGTGAATTTTTAGTGTTTTGTTTCTTTAGACTGTGTGGTATATATAGTTTTTAAAATTATGGAAAAACAGAACTCCTTTTCCACAGATGTTACAGATATGTATAAACCACAAATGCAGAGAATGTCAGGGACATCGTCAGATGGATTTGAGACCCCAGAGCCAGGACTCAACTATGTCTGCTCTTATTCCTGCAATGTCCCTGTTCCCATGTTCTGTTGTCGCCCCCTGCTGGTTCTGAGCGCTCCTGCAGGGAGGTTTGCGTCAGGGTTCTCACTGAAGTCCTCTCACCGTGTGCGTGCAGCACAGAAATAAATGGCGGTGTCGTCTGCTCTTAAGCTGTTCATTTCCAAGTAGACGCTGCTTTTGGAGTCGTCTCTTGAGATGGTGAACCTGCCTTTCACAGACTCCCCATAGTATGTTGCATAATTATAAGCTTTGAATCTAACTTCTGCAACCCACTCCAGCCCCTTCCCCGGAGCCTGGCGGACCCAGTTCATCCAGGCATTACTAAAAGTAAATCCAGAGGCTGTGCAGGAGAGTTTCAGGGACTTTCCAGGCTGTGCCAAGCCTCCTCCCGACTCCACCAGCTGCACATCAGACTGGACACCTGCAAAAACAAAGAATTCTGTCACTTAACTGACACAAATGCCGGCTGACCCTCTCACTCATGTCCACTCACACACTCAGTGTCTCTCCTTATCTATAAATTACCTTTTAATACAGCCACAAGGAAAACCCAGCTCAGTCTGAACTCCATGAGTGTTGTGTGTTCAGTGATGACCACAGAATGGGAGGACCTGGGAGTCCAGAGCTGGGTGCCTCTGTCAGAGCTGTAGGGTCAGGGCTGCTTTTCATGTGCAGAGGGGCACATAATTTGCATGTCTTCCTTCTATATCATGAGATAAGGGATGTGAGTGCCGTAACACAGGATTAATGGTGCAGATCCCTGAGATAAGATAAGGGTTATGGTGGCATTTACAGCATCAAATGTGACATTATCCAGGGGGCCTCTGCTGAGTGGGCAGAAAACATGCATCAAAGCTGAAAGATATATGAAAGGTGAAATGAAAAATACAGGATGCTGCGGGAGCATGCTTTTAATCCTAGCACTCGGGAGGCAGAGACAAACCTCACAAGGGAATGGATGTCTTCGAGAGAATCAGGATGCACCAAGGACAAACTATGTTAGAAGTTATTCATTCAAGGTTTACTGCAATAAATACATGAACATTCACATAACTATAACTTACTCAAAGTGTTACACACACACACACAGACACAAATACAGACAGACAGACACACATACACACACATACACACACACACAGTGAAGAATTACGAGTTTGTGGGTGGGGGAGTGAAAGTTTGATATGGGAGGAATTTGAGTGGATACAGAACTCAGTTTATGAAATTCTGGAAAATGCTCTATTTAAAAAAGCAACAAGGATACCTCCTCTCACAAACTATTCCTTGTTCTGTGGTCTGTGTTCAGTGCTGATTACTGATTGGGAGACTGGAAATCTAGGACCGGGCTCGTCAGCCAGTGCTACACGGTTGGTGTTGGGGTGGTTTTGATGAGCACAGGGAGACAATGTTTGTAGTTCCTGCTACTATAAAATGAGCTTTGTGGTAGAAGGTTAGACATATAATTACCTAGAAAAAAATGATAGAAACAAAACTGGAATAAAGGGAAAGGAAAGAATTACCTATTGTTATGATTATGTTGTTGATGATGATGATGATGTATTTTTACTATAATTCAGTCATCCTTCATTGTGATCCGAAAGAGGCCACTATAAGAAAATTTTAATAATTTTAAAAGGAATAGCAAAGTCTATGAATGTTGAATCCTGATATTAAGTTGAAGTAATTCGTTTCAAGGATATAGATTAATAAAGATTTGTGCAAAATGATTTGTGAGTGATACCCAGTTTTGAAAAACAATGATATAGTTGGGCAGTGGTGGTACATGCCTTTAATCCCAGTACTTGGGAGGCAGAGAAAGACATATCTCTGTGAGTTCGAGGCCAGCCTGTCCTGGAAAGCATGTTCTAGGACACGCTCCAAAGCTACAGAGAGAAACCATATCTCAAAAAATGGAAAATAATGGTATGCAAATTTTATAGAGTATTATGTATCTCTAAAACTCTTGTAAAATTTGAACATTTTTGTTTTTCTTATTATTCTGTTTTGGGCTGTGTTGGTTGGAACATTCCTGTACATCAGGTTACTATTTTTAAACTTTTTAAAGTAATAAATGTTAGGAGTACATTTTCCTGGCACCAGACCCACCACAGCACCAGCCCCAAATAAGACACAGAGACTCTGTATTAGATACAATTCTGTCGGTCAGGTACTAGTTTCCTATCGGCTAGCTCTGTCTTAATTATTAACCCATTTCTATTAATCTAATTTTTTCCCATGGTTTCATCTTATTGGAGAATTGGGCAGGACCTCTGTTCTCTCTGGTCACTGCATGCTGACTCCTGCCTACTACTTCCTCTCCTTGTCTCCTAGTCCTGCCTATCGTGCTTTCCTATTGGCCAACAGTGCTTTATTCATTAACCAGTATGAGAAACATATATACATAATGGCATCTCCCATCAAATAAAGGTAAAGTGAGTGTGAGTGCCAACAGAAAAGAGAAATCTATAGCCTTCAATGTGGTACTCTGCTCTGTTTTTCCTTCATCAATCCCATCTTGTTCACACTCAGGACGTGACACTATCCTGATTGGGTGAAATTCAGTATGAAGAGCCTTGCCTCTCCACTAGACAAGATTGTCCAGGCCTCGTTTCAAATAGAGGAATCTATCCTGAGGTAAACTGTCTTCTTGGTGATTGAGAGGGTCTTGAATTGTATAATTTCCTATTTTGTAAAGTTCCCAGGAAATGACATAGTCTAGGTACTAACTCCATGTAACTCCATGTAACATCCTGTATCCTCTAGATGTGGTGCGTACCTACCACCAGAGATGGTCTCCTGGCCTTGTATGTGGTTAACTGAGAGCAATAAACTCTGTGTAGAGTCAGGAAACACCCTTGCTGGCTGCTCTGCACTTACCTCTCGGGCTCTGCATAACTAATTTATGTGTGTACCCAATATCATTCTATATTGATTCCTTTGTCATTACAAACAACTGAAATGCAGATGTCTGAAGGTGGAGGGCATGGACAATAAAAGTGGATTCACCTTTTCTTTTTTTTTTTTTTTTTTCTTTTTTTTATTTATTTTTTTTATTTAATTTTATATAACAAAGTCCAATTAAATGAAAACAAACATTTATACACAATATTTGGGAATTTGGGCGTCGTTCTTTCCAAACTACTTCCTGCTGGTAAGGGGCGCTGTCTTGGGGGATTCGAAGAAGATTCAGATATCCTAGCTGTAGTCTGTAGGGCTGTTTGGTCCAGCTGTTTGGAATGTAGGATCAGCTTGTACTCTGTTTCAGGCGGTCTGGTGTGATCAAACCACATTAGTCTGGAAGGGTGGATTCACCTTTTCACGTGACAACTATGACCATGCTGAGGTCAGAGGAGTTCTGAAAAGGTGTTTACATTAATATATTTATATATATATATATATATATATATATATATATATATATATCCTGAGGGCTCTAGTGATCAATCAAATGATATAGGCTAGTTACACAACAAAACATATGGAAATACTCCCATTAACAAAAAACACAGCATGAAAAAGGGGTTTACAAAACTAACAAATATTAAAAAAGTAAATGAGAAAAAAACACCTATGCAATATTTCACTATGAATTTTTACTGTGTGTGATACTGTAGACTTCACATATCAACTGTATCAGATGTAGTTTAGCTAATGGACTTTCAGAAGGGAGCCCACAGAAGCTGTGCAGTTCCCCACAGTCCTCATCTGATCTCCATCTAGTGATTAACGCTCCAATGTACCCATGCAGTCCTTATACTTTTATACTCTTGTCTTCTTGATAATAGCACAAAAAGTTGGATTGCTACCAATGAACTAGTCACAGCTACAGTGTTGCTGAGGCTCCTCCATCTTGGCCTGTTCAAAATTCAGTTCTCACTGAACATAATCAGGAGATCCTATCTTGGTGAGTAAGTGCTGGTGCTTTAGAGGTTTGCCTCGCTGGTTGTTGAAGAATTATTTACCCAAATCAAAGCAGAAACAGGTCACTTCACATTCATTAAATAATGCTCATGCATGTGTGTCTTTCTTGAGTAACCCTGGAGATATTGAGAAGTTAATCCACAGGCTCCTGGTCTCCAGTGTGTGGCTAAACAGTGGGTTCAGTGTGGTCATCATGTGTCATTGCCAGCTGTGTGGGCTGACCTCACCCTGGTGGAAACAGATGGTGGATCCCTTGGTTTTCACCTTCAGCCCGTGATGTTTAGTGATTAGTGTTTGTCATGATATCAGTAATCCCAAATTCTATAGTCTGTTTGTTCACCAAACTTCTTGACACAGAGCTGAGGTCACTATAATAGTTTCAAGGGAAGACTCAGACCTGAGAAAAGATAGATTCTATGTTACTTTTCCAGATTCCTGAAACCTGTAATCTCTAACCCTGAACCTACACCAACAGTCACTTCTCTGGTTGATCCCTCTTTAACGCTCAGGTAAACAATCCAGCTTTCCTACTTGCTATACCAGAGTTCATAGCAGTGAGCACACAGGCAATGTGAACAATAGACAGCAGCAAAACAGCAGAAAACTGAGACAATGAATTCTGTTGCCAATGGAAGTGTTATATAACTGAGACCTTAGATGACATCACCTGGCATATGCACAATGGTCACCCTGACATTTCCACAAGATGGAGCATAAGAAACAACCCCAAAAGAATCGTTATGTGGGACACTGGGTTGCAAAGTAATCTTTACAAGATACAAATTTCCAGTATGATTGTGTAAATTGTGATTTACATGTACCTCATTAGAGCATTAACACATTGGAAGCTGGAAACAGTAGACATCCTGCTTTCCCATCTATGTGGGGTATTAACATGGATTTAAGAAAGATCTTTACTCTTCTCCCCATGATGGGAAATACATAGAAAGGTTTTCATATTATGTACATTTCCCTGTGAGTTACACTACCCTATCATCACAAAGTCATAAATTAGAGACAATATGGAATATCAATGTAAGTTTTATTTTAGTTTTTATACTATCTGAGAACAAATAGCAAATGCATACCATAGATGCTCCATGGGGAAATATTGATTTGCTTAGTTGAATGGAAACAGGTATTAATTGTCATAGGATATGACATGGCCAAGGATTCCTAGAAGATTATCTGAGCAGAAGGAGGAAACCACATATTCTAAAATGTAAAGAGACATACACTTGTTTAGGAGGAAGCACATGGTATCCGTTCAGAACTGTCAACCTTCTGAGTGTCATCTAGCATTTCTGAGTTGTATCAGCAGTTCCTAATGGCCTGTGTTGTTTCCAAGCACCTGTGCAGGGAGTTTTGCGTCTGAGTTCACATTTAAGTCTCCTACCATGTCTCTGACACAGTAAGACATGACAGATGGTTCAGATTTAACAAGATTTGGCTTTGGAGATATCCCTACGTATACTGATGGTGGACTTAAAGAACACTTACAAACTGTGTCTCTAGCAGTCCAGAGTTTGGCACCAGGCTCTTGACAAATTGAAAAAATAGTAACTATCAAAGTAAACACATGAGGATTTGTTTAATGTGATGATTTTATTACAATGCAAATGTAAGTACTGTTTGTACAAATATATCTCAAAATTGGTAGTCAGTAACAAACTCACAGCAGAGTCTTCCTAACTCAGCCA